ACACACACACACACACACACACACACACACACACACACACACACACACAACAGATGGACCACTCACATCACCTTTTAGCGCTGGTGAAAATCCCCATCAGTATGGATGAGAGAGTGAAATGACAGAGGGGAGGAGGCAGTGAGTGGTGGGGGGGAGGAGCTGGACGAYCATTACAGGTTTCTGTCAGATGAGCTGGAAGCTCTTTAGAGCAGCAGATAAGTGAAAACAGACAAGAGGAGTGGAGAAAAGCAAAGGAAACATCTTTACTTTTTTATTCTCTTCATCACAACGCGTATCTCCACCTTCATCTCGCCTGACTTAACAATCTCCCTCTAACTTTGAGGCTCCTCCCCCTATTTCCCCTCCTCCTCATTTTGTTTTTGCTTTTGAATGGACAACTGAGAGATGAGATTCATTCTGCTCCTGCTGATTACATCTTTCTACCTGCATCCCCATCATAAATGTTGGTTATATTTTTGATTGCGACCACTGTTAGCTGCATGCATGCTCTCAGGCTGCACACATGGAACTGTATGCTTTGAGTGGGAGAAGAGAGCGCCACAGACGGTGCAGCATCCTCCTCCAGGACACCTGCTGCTGCACTGCTTCACTAACGTAAACATGAGGACATCCAGAAAGAGAGTTTAAACTTTCACCATCATGCAAAGCTTTTATCTTCTCTCAAAAGTTTGAAACAGGTCACAAAGGGCTGTCCTTTGTTGGTCCTTTGATTTTGTTTTATTTTATTTTCTCCACAGTGAGTCAGAATGAGCCCTGTTTGGCTTCTTCTTCTGCTCACACACCTCTTAAAAGCACAAGTGACTCAAAGGTTTTTCACTGGAGAACCTTTAAACAGCAGCAATATTTCAACCAACGGCACAGGACTTTTAGAACCCTTCCCCACAGAACCTCCTGGTTTTACTGGAACACCTTCAGAAGCTCCCACAGTGGAAGAGGATGACTGGTTACCAGCAGAGAACTTCTTGTACACTGGGGATCCGTTCACTCTGAGAAAGGCCCGTTGTTCCCGAGCATATAGCACTCAGGGACAGAACGGACCTCTACCAATGACCTTTATTTCCCCCCTCCAGCCAGCTCTGAATGCATTGGCCAACACTGCCAACTTTCTCAACATGGTCTTCCAGGCCAGTGACCTGCGGGAGAGCACAGTGCAGGAAGATATGGAGTGGTACCATGCCCTGGTCAGAGCCCTACTAGAGGCCGACGTGATCATTCGACGGGCCCTCCTCACTTTCGATGCTGACCCAGCTGCTAAGGTGCCACAAATGGTTCTTCATGCAACCCGCAACCCATCTGCTAAGCAGCAAACCATCATCCTCCAGGACTTGTCTAAGTCCTGGGAGAGGTTCCACCCACCAGCCCCAGCCCCAGATGACAGCTGGTTCACCAGACTAAAATTCTCTGAGTCCAACCAGCAGACAGCAGCCTTGTCTAAGCGGGTGCTCCTCAATGACCTCAGCACCTTAGACACCCCAAAGTGGAGTCAGGGCGACAGCTATGTGACCAATCAAAACAGTGTACGGTGGGCCAGCGCTCCATTTCTGGACTGTAAGGATAGTCTGTTGGTTCCCGGCTGGATGCTGACCCTGTCCATCTCCTTCTACGGCCTCAAACCTGATCTAACACCTGAGTTCAGGTCAGGACAGAAACACCTTCACTCTTACACACTTAAGTATAGGGCTGCAGCTAACTATTATTTTAGTAATCGATTAATCTATCGATTATTCTGACGATTAATCAAGTAATCGGATTAAAAAAATTGTCTTGTTCTGCAGTAATTAATTAAGCTTATTTTATGAGAAATACAATTATTTAATATTGGGAAGGGGTAATATACACCTGCTAATGACCATGCTGCAATCAAAGTAAAATTACAATACCAGTTGTATTAATTCATGCATTTTTAACTCCATTTGTTTGTATTTATGTATGTAAGGTTTGAGGAGGCATTAATTAAAAGCACTCTGTCAGTGTCAATGTCAAATTTATTTGTATAGCACATTAACAACAAAAGATGACCAAAGTGCTTCACAGTTCAGTCAAGACATCAAAAAACAAACAAATAATAGATACAAATACAGAAACACAATATATGAAAAAAGCTCTAACTGAACCTCCAAATCTTAAACATAAGCCAAAGAAAATAAATGGGTCTTCAGCAAAGATTTAAAGCCTCAACAGTCTCTGCTGACTGAATATTAAGAGGTAAACTGTTCCACAGCTTTGGAGCAGCTATTGCAAAGGCCCGGTCATCTCTAGATTTCAGTTTGGATCCAGGAACATCTAGAGGAACTGGTTGGTAGACCTGAGTGCTCTGACTGGAGTGTAGATGTTAAGAAGGTCACATAAATATGACGGGGCCAGACCATTAAAAACTTTAAAAGCCATCAATAAAATCTTAAAATCAATTCTCAGGTGAACAGGAAGCCACTGGAGAGAAGCCAGGACCGGTGTTATGTGTTCATGCTTTTTAGTTCCTGTTAAAAGACGAGCTGCTGCGTTCTGGACAGTCTGTAGGCCATGCAGAAATGATTTATCTAAACCAGCATACAAAGAATTACATTAGTCCAAGCCAGTGGTAATAAAAGCATGAATCACCTTTTCAAMGTCTTTAGTGGGGAGATAWGATTTCACCRTAGCAATTAGTCTTAATTGGAAAAAACTTGATTTTACAACTGAATTAAAGTGAAGAATCAAAGAGAAAACCCAGATTCTTGACAGTAGAATGGCTGTATGAAAATAAAGGACAAATGTCATCTGAATTTACTTTACCAAAAGTGATTGCTTCAGTTTTACTCTCATTTAGATTCAGAAAGTTTAGTTTTAGCCAGGTTTTTATATCATTCAGACAGCTGAAGAGTGGTTCCAATGGAGCATCCCTGTTCAACTTAATGGGCATATAGACCTGGATATAATCAGCAAAGCAATGGAAAGTGAATCATTTTTAAAAATCACAGAAAAAATCTAAATGCTTAAATTTATTGTTATAGACTGGAAAACTGAATCTTTTTGTGTGTGTGTGGGGGGGGGGGGTAGAAATTTAACTAGTAAAATGGGTAATATAAACATTTGGGTGTTGCAATTGAGTTTTGTTAATAGAGTTCACTTGTTAATTGTAACAAAAAATTCATATTTTTAAAAAACTGTTATTAGGTTGATGCAGGGCTCCCATTTAAACAATAAAAGATTTAGTCTTGACTGCTTAGTTACAAACAAATACGACAGTGTAATGAAGGCTAAAATCATAAAAAGCAGCAGCAAATAATTTTATAAATTCAACTATCTTCTATAAATACTTTTAAACTTGAAATATTTACTCCAAGTATCTCATTTAAARTAAGATAAAAGCATATCAACAAACATGTTTCAGCTCAAGCTGTCAATCTGTTGCTGTGTTTTTATTTTAATCTGACAAATTTACAGTAAGTCTTGTTTTTAATCACACAATTTACACACRGTTTAATAAAACCCTGCCAGGTCACCATGATTAGTCAGCACAAATAACATTAACTTAAACATACCTCCTCCTCGTACATCTGTAACACAGATTATCACAGATTTAGGTAAACACAATTTGCAAAGGTAACGTGAACGATACCTGTTGTTACCTCCGGACATGTTTGCAGCAGTGTTTTTGTTCCGGTGCAGTAACATCGTGGATGTGAAGCGTACTGCACGTTGTCGTCTTTTCTGTTTAGTTTTAAATGTTCCCATACATTTTTTAATTTGTCGTTTTTTTTGGGCGCTTCGTTTCGGCACTCTTCATCTTCTAAAGCTAAATATAGCACTCAGCAAGCATACATGCGTGACGCGTCGACAGTGTAACTGTTAGCGGAGGCGCAAACAAAGTAGCATTGGGTGTAACACAAAAAACATTACGGGCGGACGAAAGTGCGCTGCTTATAACGTATTTTTTATGAAGCTTCTAGGCAGATAAATTTACCTCGAGGATTTTTTGTAATCGAATTACACGAATTATTCGAGGAATCYTTTCAACCCTACTTAATTAATCTCTAACACAACACTCACAAGCCAATAACTGACTCACATTTTCATTTTTGACAGAAATTTAACAAACTCTATAGCTAGATTCCATTCAAAGTAAATAATACTTTCTTGCTTATCATTGTTTTCTTGTTTATGTTTTTTTTATGTTGTGCTATTTTAACCATTCACACACTGTATCAAAATATGCATCATTTTTGGGAATAGTGTGTTAGGACTTTATAGCTTTTTTAAACAAAAAAAGGACTATAGCTTTTTTGAATAATTTACATTTGTTTACAACATTTTTACCCAAAGAATTGAATTGAGATCTCATTTCCTTCAGAAAGCATACTCTCTAAAATCTGCTTTAAAATTTTTGCTTCATGCTTTTTTAGCTTTAAGCTACTGTCTAGCTAATTTTATGTTTTAGCTACAGCTTTGCTACATTTAACTTTTAACTACTGTAATGATAACCTTTGTTTGTATTACCAGATGGCAGATTTTAGCTTTCAGCTATAATTTTACTAATAATTATTTTTGGCTACAGTTTTGGTAATTTCAGCTTTACCAACAGGTTTACTAATTGTTTTGCTGATATTAGCTAGTGATTTGCTGAATTTAATATTTAATAACATTGTAGTTAATTCTTTAACAAATTTCAGCAGTCATTCAGCACTCAGCATTTATGCAGTTTCCCTGGTTTGACGCTTCACATTTTGACCTCAATGACAAAATTAGAGCATTTTATTATACAAAGTATAACCTGTCTTGATTTATTTTAAAGGGGCAATATCACGTAAAATCAACTTTTTTGAGTTTTATATCATATTATAATGTTATCCTCTCATAAAAAAACATGCCCAGAGTCTTGCTTTGACTCCTTCATGCATGTTTAAGAAATCCTGTAGTGTCCTGAGGCAGCCAGGCTGGAGAGCAAAAACCACCAGCTGGGACTAGAACCACCTTTTAGGATCAGCTCCTCCTCTGGACTTTGTCTCCAAGCTGAGCTGAGCTCCTCATCACAGAGCACACCTCCTGTGCGACTCCTGCAGGCTATCGGCAGCAACAACTAGCAAACACCTGGTGAAACGGTGTCTGCTGACTCGTAATACTACTTCTCAGTCCAGTCTTTTTTGGAATAAAAAGGAAAAGAATTTTTGGATGCCAAGGAGACTCTTTTTAAGATTCACAACGATGACAGTTCTTAAAATATGTTTTTCTCTAAGTTATATATGTGCAAACCACTGTACGGATGACAGCTGTCTGTTCAAAAGGGAATTTAATAGTGGACTAATAAGATTATCACTAAAAGATCATGCAATTGCAACACTCAGAAGTACACAAACACCATTGTGACCTGCCCATGTAAGCTGAAAAACAACTCACAATGGGCCTCATGCAAGAACATGTTCGTATTATTATCCTAAATTTCTCTTACTTTTGTTCATATGAAGAGTTTGTACCAACATGTCAACAAACTCTTCTATCTTCAGGWAAACTGTGTAAATGAGCAGCATAAACATGATGAAGTGTATCAGCTGCTCGTGCACAAGGAGAGGTAATTTACTTAATTACCACCCCAAAAACACCATATAAGGCTATATGTTTCCTGCCCCACATACCAGGACGTGTCCATTCATGAATGACATAGCAAAGTAAAAAAGAAGAACTTTACGAGTTCAGAGATTTAAGTTCTGCTCTCAGAGATCCACAAAAAAAATCATTTTTTGCAGCGTCAGCTGTGGAATTAAAGGATCTGCTTTAATGTCGTGTCTCCTGGGGGTCGTTACAGTCACAGAAATAAAAATCTAAATCATATTTATCTCTCTTTGTAGTCCTGCTCTGTTTTTTCTTTGGTCAAATGTTTTTAATTTCAGTGTAAACAACTGTGTTACATAGTTTTAATTTYTTCAGAGGAAGGGCYGTCGCACATCGCTGTTACTTCTTTTTTAATTATCATTGCAACAAAGTAGGCTACGACGCTCACGGCAGAGAACGGCATGAAGCGGTTGTGATGACGTGCTGAAATGGGCATGATGGGATCACAGGGCTGTACAGTGCGACATATACTGTATGTCACACGTGCTATGAAAAAAGCTGTGCTATAAAAGAAAAAGACTTTGTAGCACWGGTGCAACAGCTTTGGAAGCCGCTTTTTTTCTGTCCGTCAGTAATTTTTGTAATGCATTAAARTCCCGCCTACAATAAATTCTAGCGATGTGTTTGATTCGGACTGTTTTAAATGAAAACCCGTTCCTATAAACCTGACTCGGTTCAGAAGACGCACGGAGGAGAGAGACCCGCTTCTGTACCTCAGAGCGAGGCAGCGACAGACTCTTCAAGAACTTTGAGACTTCAACCGTAGCTCCCAAAAACAACTTAAAATGCACCATCTGTGTTTTACCAAAAAATACCAGCCAAAGCTGCTCCAGCTGCAACTCTTGCTAAAAACTCCAACTTCCTCCCCGCAGCTCTCTGCAGTTTCCTCACACACACACACACACACACACACACACACA